TTCACCCACGCCCACACGCCTATCTATATATTTTATTCATTTACTTAAATCTAACTATTAAATTCACTCGGTTGTGAGGAGCGGGACACAAGTTGGTTAAGGAAAAGACTGATCAATCGTACATAGGTGAAGACAATTATCTCTATTAGTATGAGATATTTTGATTGAATTCCAAAAATAAAGTCGTGATGGTTATGCCAGAAACGGACAATATCATATCATCGTGGAGATACTTGGGAGGTATGAAGGTAGATTTGTCCTTAATTAGATTTTTGTTTACCTATCGACATTTGTATATGTTCATAGCTTCGATACTGATACGTGGTAAATCGACAATTTTATAGTGTAGCAAGAAAATGGACAAAATATAAATAAAATATGATCACTAGCGTGAATATAAAATTAGTATTGATAATTTTTAACTTATTTTAAAAATGATAGAATGTTTATTTGTTAATTTAAATATTTGTTATGAATTTTTTTTTTATAAATATCAGTCGACATCGATATTTTATCGATATTTCCATCGGTATTGACATTTGAAACTTTGGCTTCAATTAAGTGTGTGATTGATCCATTGCCTATTAGACATTCTAAAGAATTCATGGATGTAGTTGATACAAAATTGAAAGTTTAGAGTTATACTAGATACAAAATTTAATTTTGTGTCTATTAAATTTATGAATTTTTTATCTAAAAAAAATTTCATGAATTTTGAAAATTCTGTGTAATAACCTTTCAAACCGTACAAAATAAAAAATTTAGAAATCTATTAGATATTTTTTAAAGTTAAAAAATATGTGAGAGAAGCTAACCTGAACCACATCCTAAAAAGGAAACATATATGTGAGACACGAGAGTCCATATCTAACCTTGTTATTTAACCTTATTTATTTCTATTTTTTTTAGTACAACATATAGAGTTGGGGGATCGAACTCACAATTTTTATGGTTGAAGATATATGTCAATTACGGTTGAGCTATGCTCGATTTGACTATTTTTTAATGTTTAAATTATAAAGTTTTTGGACTCAAATAACCTTACTTAAAACTAGATAAGGGATCCAACTCAATTCCACCACGAAAATATTTAGGTTAACTAAGTAGATAAATGTCAAATTTTTTTTTAAAAGAAAAAATTTAATAGGCGACTGCAAATATGTATTTTTTTTAATACAACATGTGGGTGTAGGATCGAATTCACAATCTTTTTGGTTGGAGATATATGTCAATTACCACTGAGTTATGTTTACTTTGGTAAATCATTTATTAACTTAAATAATAAATAATAGTAATAAAAGTAAAATTTATTTTTTGTGATAGTCATTCATCTATGTAAAATTGATGATTAACATAGATATTGATTAACTAGAGTTATAACCATCACTTAACTTAGTAACATATAGCGAATTTGAGCATAGTTAGATATCTATGCCAAACTAGAAGGTCGTGAGTTCAAATCTTCACCTCCACATGATGTACTAAAAAAATATTATATATATATTTATATATATATATTTTGATTGTCATTGTCATTTTTTTTATTATTCATTTTATTAGTAAAAAATTAAAACAATACTTTTATCAAAATTATTTAAGAATAGAAAAAACCATATTAGTTTCTGAAGATAAGAAACATATGTTTCAAAAAGAGGGAAAAAAACAACAAACACAAATTGTACCAAAAAAAACTTTTAACAACTCAAGCTTGAACACGATTTTTTCCCTAAGAGACAATGATGTTCACTGCAAAAAGAGTGGAGTAAAGTAATACACAAATTTGGAACCCATCATACGTTGATGCAGAAATTTAAGCTCATGAGATTTCACCAAATTCACACAAATATTCTAGAATAAAGGGGTAGATGAGACCTACAAAACAGAAGAGCACTAAAGACCGATGTGGATCTTGCCACACAGGTTCCGATGCTTAAGTCAGAATCAGAGTAGTTGAGTAGGGGTTTTGGCGTAGCAAATAGTAGGGACTTACCTTACTAGTACATTTTATCTGAATCTAGGGAGAATCCTGAGGCACTATGATAAGACTTGATTAAAGGCTAAAAAATGTAGGTTTACATGCTTAGTTGATGGTTATTTTGGATGAGAAATGTATGTTCATGCATATAATTTTGGAAAAATGTGCATAATTTGTGGTTAGAGACTTTGGAATTCAGTTATAGGCAGATGAAGACTAATTTGGATAAATATGCTTATTTTGTAAGGAAAAGTGAAGATTTATTATCACAATGCGTCAGACACATCGCAAGACCAGAAATTCTAGCTTATTAGAGGAATGAGCCATCTAAGTTATTTTGAAATTCCAACTTCACAATGCTTCAGCCACTTTAGATTATCAAAACGAGAATAACAACTTTTGACCAAGTAATTAGTCCATGATTTGTTATTAGTTCATAAAATCTCTACAACCTCATTTGATTCCAACCTCCGATGCATTTCTCAATATCTTGTTGCCTCCATGGTCTATAAAAGGAGCTCCCAAACATCACTTCAAGGCATCTCATATTCTTTCTATGTTTTAGTTCTTCCTTTCCAATTGTTATCAACTTTTGTTTTTGAGTTTTTATTTTAGCATTTCAGTTATGTTCTTGTTTATCCTTTGTTTATTTTATTTCAATTCTATTTGTTCTAATTTTGCACTTTCCAAGAGTAGCTAAATTATTTCTTCAACCCTCCTACGAATGGTTTGGTTCATATATTTTAAATTACATCTATCAATGAACACGACGTATTACGCTATCTTTTGCTTATCTTGATTGATCTAATTCATCCAGTTGATTTCTTGTTGGTCACTTGTTTAAATCACATTAGTTTGAATTTAATTCTGAAAAGGTTAGAGTCAAATGGATCTCATCAAGGTAAAACAGGAAGTTACTTAGAAGTAAGAACTAAAACAAGATCTTAGACATAGACTCTCTTACCTGTTAAACGTAAGTTGGAACTTGATTTATTTAGGATTCTAGAGTTGCATAGACATATGTAAACATTAACCTAAGCTTCTAAACAAACCAAAAGTGGTATGAAATATGAGTTGAACTAGTTTACATAAATTGAGTTTCATTACGGACACATTTGATAGGTGTAATTCATCTTTTAGAACTAAATCTTGGTAGAGGGATTGACTTTTTAATCTTTGTGTTTTTAATTCGTATTCCCAACAATTTCACCAATTTTTATCCCAAGCCCAATTGCTCACTCAAGCAATTTACAAATCAATTTTAAAAGAAAACTAGTTGCTGTGGAGACGAACTTGGAATATTTCCAGATTATTACTTGTGATGTGCACTTACACTCACCCTCTAGCTATTAAGCTGAAGCGTAACACAATATCTTCTCCTTTTGAATATAGACATATTCTCCTAAATTTAGGGAAAATCTAAAGTCATTACGATAGCTTCTCTTTTAAATTTAGGTGAAATTCCAATGGTAGAAAATATGATTTTCTCATCCATAACACAATACAGTATCACTAAAGTTTTCACAAGATTCTAGATCTATATCTTTAAATTTTATTTTATTCATTTCAACCTTAAAATAGTGATGTTTGACAACCGTGTATAACTTATTTTGGAAAAATTCAAATCCATTTTAGTGATTTCGATCAATCACTAATTTAGCAATTCCTTAACTTTAAACACATTGTGGAAGACTCATGACTTATGCAACCAGTGTATCATATTTCTATTGATGTGTCAGCATCTTCATGTCTATGAATTCAACATCGACATAAGAGGCAAATGACATTTGTATAGTATTATAAAAGAATCGACAAATATAAAAAAAAAACAACAAAATATCACTAATGCGGGCATAATAATAATTTTTTAACTTATTTAAAATGATGAAACGCTTATTCGTTAATTTAAATATCTTTTTTAGAAATATCTATCGAAATTGATATTTTCTTGATAAGATCCTCGTATCCGGACCTCAAAGTTTAAACTTTGACATGATCTAAGATACATATGGGCCCAATCTTATCTTGAGCATCAACTATTCATATTGGGCTTATGCAAACTTATCAAGCCTTGAAACCAGTAATTCTTTGAGCTAGTACAAGCTTGGTATGGGAAAAGAAAAAGAAGAAAAATAAAAGGGAAAAATAAAAAAAAAAACTCCACCCAATAAGCTTGGGAGAAGGATTTGGCTTAAGATTGTTTGCATATGAACTTGTTGTTTGGAGTTTATCACGCAAACTTATGAGTACTCCCAACCTACTTCTTACAAACTCGCTCATTCGCTATGCTTTTTAGACCTCTACTTAAACCTCTAAATCTAACATTGTCAAACTTACACCCGAGATACCTTCTAAAATACTTTTCATGATTAAGCAAAAACACGTGTCTTTTTAGTACCTGCAACAACATGTCTTCAAATGGTTAATTAACTTATGTCGTTCCAAACAAATGTGTGACATGACAGGGGTAGGAACAACCCCATGTCTAAGTACTTTTAAACAATTTTCAGTACTTGGTTAATTAAGAAAAAAAATGATATTGACAATTCTAGAAGTACCAAAGAATCTGTAAAAGTACGGGTAGGAGAAACGTTCTCTTCAAAAGTACTTATAAAACAAGTATATTTTTTAAATGTCATTCTAAAATCACTTTGAGTAAAAACATGTCTTTCTTCCAATTGTTTATCTCTAATATGCCAAATGAACATCTCACATATCACGTGAAAAATGCATAATATAATTTGAAGTATTATTTCCATCATAAGCTATCATCTCATATAATTTATTTTAATACAGCGATTATGAGGATAGATAATTGACTCTTGAATCTCAAGAAAGAACATTAGTATTTTATCCATTAGGAAAATCTTATGGTAAACAAATTTAAAAAGAAAAAAGTTTCAAACTCTAACGCCATCCAATGGGCTCATGGAGTCGAGAGGTCCAAAGCCATTTTCTCGCGCCAAGCCTCAGAAGAACGCACGCAGCCACGCGTTGAACAAACAAACCGGCGAAGTCCTAATTTTGCAGCCACAAAAAAATTGGGATAATCCCACGAAAGGCTCACAAAAATCCACGCATTGAGCGACAAATCTTTTTCCTCAATCCTAAACTCCAATGGGCCACACTTCCGATTCCGCTGCCATTTTTCTTCTCCTCCGGAAGCAGTCGGGGCTCGGCCGGGCGCTGCAATCGGAGAAGCCAGAAGAGGAGTAGATGCTAAGGCTGAATCTGTACTGCAGCGGCTGCGGCTGTCTGATTCGGAGCGGGAGAGATGTGAGGGGTGGGTTTGGGTATGGTTCGTCGTGGGTGATTCGACTGCGGGGAAATCGGAGGCTCAGTCCAGGGGTTTCGGCCAAGGCGTTGAAGGATGATCAGAGAGACGGCGGCGGCGGCAGATTTCCTGGGCGGAGCTGGGACCCTGGCTTGGAAATTGAAGTTCCGTTTGAACAACGCCCGGTATGGATGAATTCATCATCATTTTGAAAATTTCTTTTGCAAATTTTGGACTGATGATAGGTTTCTTCTGTTTCATGTTGGGATAAAGATTGTCAGATTATTTTTTAAAAAATTTAAATGTTAGAAGTAAGAGTGAGAAATGAAAACTTGAAAAGTAGAACAACTATTGATTGAGTTGCTGTGCTTAAAGCCAATGGTTTAGAGACATGGAAGCACAATTTTTGTAACTAACAATATTTTAGAGCTTGATAATAGTTTTATTTTTAGAAAAAGCATGCATGAAATTCAATATTTTTCATTGTTTTAATTATTTTACAATCGTGAAACTAAAAAGTAAAAAGGTTAGTTTTCGCCTCTTTTTTGTTTTGTTTTTGGAGTGGCTGTGAATTTAAGTAATTGAAATAAAATATTACAACTACAGCATAGAACACTAGTCAGTTAATTGATTAATTTAACTATAGTTTATTAATATTTAGGATAGTCACCAATCATGTCCTAACATAAAATAAAAATATACCAATGAACATTAACAAAGGCAATAACGAGGGGGCTAACTAATTTTTTAAAAAAATATCATGCTTATTAATTTTTTTTGGGTATCAAAATGCAGATATACAAATATTTTACCTTTAGTTGGGCTTATATCTCAAAAAGTGTTTATAAAAGTCAAAAACCAAAAAGAACAAAAAAAAAACAAAAAAACTAGAAATAAAATGAGGTTTCTCAACCACATGGTTGGTATAACAAATGCATGAGAAAAAAAGTATTCAAATATATAGATTTTTAAATAGGTTGTAATTGTGAAAATGATAACCCATGATGAAGCGGGCGCGGGTAATTTTGGGTATAGGGAAGTAAAGTTCTGACTCTCAGTTATAAAAAGAAAAAAGGAAAAAATGACAACCCTAGAAGGAATATTTTATTGAGGCGATTACATAAATAGCATAATTTTTAAATGTAGTAGAGTTCAAAATTTTACCAAAATAACATTATTTAAATCATGTATTCGCACAAAAAATGTCACATAAATGTGCCAACATGAGCGATTAAGACATCTTGTTGATTCTTTAAAAGAGTCGGAGGTTCAGCACCTCATCCTCACATTTATTATACTAAAAAACGTCACGAGTGAAATTTATCAATTTTCTTTGTGGGAGTGCAGGTGAACGAATACTCATCTTTAAAAGACTCGGCACTGTACTCGTGGGGGGAGCTGGGAACAGGGCCTTTCTTCCTTCGCCTTGGAGGGCTTTGGTTAGCGAGTTTCACACTCCTAGGAGTTCCCATTGCAGCCGCAAGCTTCAATCCTTCAAGGGTACCCTACTTTACAACCCCAATCTAATATGAAAGGCTTTTAATTGATCAAGAAACCTTGTTTCTTTCAGGAACCTCTTCGATTTGTGCTTGCTGCTGGAATTGGAACTCTTCTCCTCGTATCTTTGATTGTCTTGAGAATATATCTGGCAAGTTTCTTCAATATCCATTATTATAGTTCTCTTCTGGCTTAGGTGAAAGGGATTAAAATTGAAGTGGCAGTGGAGGTTGAGAATGCGTATAAAAGATTAAATATATCATAACCTATTAAGTATCGAATTAACTTTTGGATATAGTGATAGGTTAGTATCTTTGAGTATGAGATCTTGAGTTTGAACGTTTGTGATATCATTCCATTTCCAAGCCATAAGTGGGGGAGTGTTAAGAATATGTATAAAAGATTAAGGATTTTGGGATGTCTTTTGGAAAAAAAAATGTTTTTAAAGTGAAGTATTTAGTTTTGTTAGCACTTTTGGAAGAAAACTAACTAAATACTCCATCTAAAAGGTGATTTTTATCTATTTTTATAATTTCTCAAACTATTTCAGATTATCGAGGATTTTAAAAGTGTTTTTGATTGGTTAAAAGTACTCTTTAAAATTTTAACCAAACACTAACAACTTTTTAAGAAACGCTTTTAGTTTCCGTAAGCACTGCATGCCAAACACATATTGAATATGTCATAATCTATCAATTTAAGCTTTTGAGATTAGTGATAGTTTGACATGATATCAGAGCAAGAGGTTTTGAGTTTGAAGCTTATAGGGGTGTGCTTGGTTAAACCCTCGAATGAGGGGAGTGTTAATACCTTAACCTAGGAATTTTTAACTTTTGAGTTTTGCGGTAGTTTAACCGTCAGATCATGTTGGTTGTAGGGATGGAGTTATGTGGGAGATAGACTGTTATCGGCAGTCATACCTTACGAAGAGAGTGGATGGTATGATGGCCAAATGTGGGTCAAGCCACCCGAGGTAAATTCTCTCACCCCAACTCATTGTTTCCCTTGCTTCCTCACTTTTAACTACAGAGCTAGACAGAGGTTTTGTTTTTTCTCTTCCTTTTTAATAATAGCTGAATATGTAAATTGATCTCTATGGTATATTTCGATTTGAACTTCTAATTTTCTCGTTAATGGATCAATTTATTTCAATTGAGTTCTTTTTTGAAAGGAATGCTGAATCTGTGATGATTTGGGGATTGAAGAATGAGATGGTTGGTATGGTTGAATAATTTGTGTCCAAAATAATTAAGAGACAAGAAATATGGTGGAGTTATTCATTTATTATTCCATGTGGACGTGCTGGGATTCATTAAGTATTTCATGTAGGTTCATCGTTTGGTCATTGGATGTATTTATTCACTAAAGATATTTTAATTATACATCATACTTTCATTAAAATACTTTGAGATGTCCTTGAAAATGGTCATAACATTATGTTCATTCTTTATATTTAGCCTAAAAATTATTTTTACCTTATCACGTTAAGCTTTTGAGTTTAGGTAGTTACATGGCAGGAGGCAATCTCGAGTTCTAGTTGTTGCTCCTCTCCGTTCTAAATAGTATTCTATTTTTTATGCCTTGTTTGTATATTTGAGAGAATTTTTAAGAATATTAGATTTACTAACCATTTCATTTTCATTGAAGGTCTTGGCTCGTGATAGATTGTTAGGATCTTACAAGGTACGATCCAATACCGAGACAATAGAATTTAGAGAAAATTCATTTTAGTATGAAATACTATTAAGAAATTTTCATTCAACTAAAAAAATTTACAGGTTAAACCAGTGATCAAAATGCTCAAACAAACTCTAGTTGGAACAGGGATTGTTCTTGTCTCAGCAGTATTATTGTTCATATTCTCTACGCCAGTGGAGGGTTTTCTACAAACCACATTCTCCACAAGACAAAGCTCACCATCCAACGTTAATCAAGATCCTAATATCAACAGAAAATACAACTTAAGGTAACTAAATGAGATTGTGAATCGAGGGGTTCTCTCCATGTGCTCTACTTTGTACTTAGCAATGAGTTTGTATGTTTGTTTGCAGAAAGGAGGAGTTGCTTCGGTTGCCGGTCGAGGTCTTGGCCGATGACGAGCTTGCAGCCGCTGCGGCCGAGGCAGCCGATGGAAGGCCGGTGTACTGTAGAGATCGGTTTTACCGGGCACTAGCAGGAGGACAGTACTGCAAATGGGAGGACTTGATCAAGTAAATACATACAAAGTTGGGGAAGAAATATTCTTAAGGTGTTCTCAAAAGAATTGTCACTCTACATAATTTGTCAATTAATTGTAAGTCTTAATTTTTTTTATAATATTTTATATTCATAAATTTTGATTTTAAGAAATTTATAAAATCCGTCTTTACAACATGTAGGAGGGTTCAAACACATGATCTTTTAGTTGGTGATACATGTCTTTATCGGTTCAACTAGGCTCAAGTTGGTTCATCTCTAATACATAGAAAGATACTCATTTAATCACTCACAATGACTAAATTGTAGCTTTAAATTAATATATTTAGCATACCAATTTCATCATATAAATCTTTCTTTCGGAAAGTCTTACCAAATAATATTGGTTGACGCTATTATGTGGAAAGAACCCCGATTTTCTCAAAGGTTAGAGATGGAACTGGTACTATGTCTCTGTCTTTGACCTCTCGATCGAGCAGCTACTAAGCTTTAAGAGCTTTTTTTTTTTTTAGCCGCTCTGAAGCTATTGCATTGATAGGTGGGTGGTCCTCTTTAATACATTAAGAAAAGATGTTCACAGGGGTCAGAAAGGACTCCAGGATCCACTTCAATTCATGTAGCAACTGGAACATACATGAAGCGACCGATTTTTTCGCGTGAGTTAATTCATCCATAAACCATATAGTTTTGATAATTTCTAAGTATATTAATGTATATAAATTAAACAATGATTTTTTGATCTCTTAAATTGTCCACCAAAGAATTCCATGGTCGCATCAAAGAATATTATTGAAGTTAATGGTTCTTATCTTCCACATCAAAATAACCCCTTTTAAAATAAATGTATTTTTTTGATAAGTCTCAATTGTTTGTGGATTTTGTTGTATATGTATATATATATAGTTTAAACTAACTAAAGTAAGAGTAGTTGATGCTACTTGCCATGTATACACGTGGCTACCAAAAAATAATTTTTAAATATTCCAGATCAACCATATTTATACTATATTTTTTTATCTGTTTTATTTTTAATAACTAATCAATCTAATCAAAGTATATACTAAAAAAAAAATCTAATCAAAAGCATGTGTGACACATTATATTCCAAGTAGAAACCTCTGCTTTTCTATCCAAAAGCATCTAGCAAATATAAAAATTAATACATAAAATAGAGGGAAAAATATCTACCTAGTTCTAATAATGGCAAGGAATATTATCCTTAACTTTAATATTAGATTACGACATAGTTTTCATACTTTATAAAAAGTAATTATGTTTATTTTTTATCTTTGTTATTATGATATTTTATTTTTTAAAATTTGGATGAGGTAGTATATATTTGATTGATTTGATAACCTTTTGAACATTACTACATCGAATGGACAAATATGATTAGATTGGTAAATTAAGACAAATAATTTGAGAAATTAGTTGGGTAGAATTAAGGCTAAACTTGACCTATCCAACTCAAATGTTCTACCCAATTTTATGAATTGTTTTTCCTAATTTATCATCTATAACTTTAGCCCTAATTATATTTGCATATTCATTTTTATTATATTAACCAATTGTCAAATTAATGAAATATCTGTCACCTCATCCAACCAAACCCTTGAAAAACGTGTAGAATGTATCTATTTTCATGATTTATTGGTATATAAATGGCAGATACAAAGTACAACATAATTTATTATTTTAAACAGTAACCATAATTTGGTTGAGTTCCAAATTTAGAGGCTGCCCTGGAACTTGAAATAGTTTGAATTGCATTTCAATTTTGATTTTAATAGATTTTTGTCAATGTTGCTACTTATATCAGTTGTGACCATCTAATTTAACCATTACAAGAAATTAGAATTTCAGCCACTACAAAATTAAGCCAAAAGTCAGCTATAGGTTTTAGCGACACGTCTTGTTTCGTTGCAAAAATTGTCTCTAATTCCACATCTTCTTAAATTTTAGAGATGTTTTATTGAATGGAAGGGGAGAGGAATCAGTTAAGGGCTGGGGATGTGAAAGAGAGGGGAGTTTGGTGCCCTAAGTTGAATCCAACTTTCAGCGACCTGCTTCTAGACGTGCGTAGGTCAAAGTTTCAGCACTATCAACATTCATGTTTATAAGATCATCGCTAGTTGAAAGTGAACATTAACTACATGTTTTCAGAACGTCACTAAAACATTATATTTAATGACATAAATTTTCTCGGCATCGGTAAATCCTCATCTCTAAAGGCCGATTTTCTTGTAGTAGACTAACAAGTAATAGTTTGTAACTACATGATACAAAAAGTTTAGCGAAAATACTTTGTTGAATCAGAAAATTTAGACCCACTCCCCCTTTCTTTTACTACTTCATATCACTCATTACCAATGTTACCTTAAATAATCACTTGTTAGTCCAATTACTATGCAACACCAACATTAAAACAATAGTACAATCACCCACCACCAACTTATTAGAATCAAAACAAAAAATTTACAGACCAAAATGAAACATTTTCAAGATTCAATAACTCAATTTGCAACTTAACCAAATATAATGGACATATATATTATAAAATATAAAGACGAAACAGACCCAATATTCGAAGATGATAAATCACGACGTTAAAAGTGACCTAAGAAAGCAATATTTAACACATTCGAACATACATCGTGTGCATCTATATATATTATATACCCATCAAACACCAAAATTCCTTATTGAACACCATCATTGGAATTCAATTGGTTAGAAACCCAAGAGTAAATTCTAGGGTATAAATCCATTGGCAAAAGCCAAATAGGTTAGAAGCACGGGGATGATACCACTGGCTCAGCTAAAGGTTGGATCCAATGCCAAAATCTAACGTTTAAAACTAACTGTTAGTAGTACCCAAGAAAATTGATTGCAGCCAACTACAACAAAAGAGAATGGGGCTAGGAAAGCCAGCTCATAAGGACGACAACCAACAGCGATAAAAAAAAGGGCTATTCCACAAAAATAATCATCCACACTAAGCGACAAGTACTTTCAATATAGAAGCCTTAACATACTTTTTGCCTTCTATTTTGAGGGTGTGGGCTATTGTTATAGGAAGATAAAAGAATAACGCACCAAACGACAGAAGTAGAGACCAGGCCAAGTAAGAAGCGCACGAAACCAGGTAAGCACCGAAACACCTCGGTGCCGACCATGGGTCGACCAAAGCGACAGAAGTAGAGACTAGGCCGGGGAAGAAGCACACGAACCAGGTAAGCACCGAAACCTGTCGACCCTGGTCGACCACGGCCGACTCGTGATCGACACCAAGGTGTTTTAGGCCAATTGTCGAGAACCCTCCTTTGGTTCTCCTCGACCCTAATGTAGCCTGATTTGATTCTACCCTATCTTTACCCTTGATCTGATATTAGGCCCATGATGAAACGCACGGGTCCAGGAGTCCAAATCTCTTAAGCACACTCGAATTCGGCTTATGTAACTTCTATAATTCCTAAAAGGATTAGGATTCGACTTCTATAAATAGGAGGGTGAACCAAACCTTAAAGGTACGCTAAAATAGCATCGGAGCCTGTGTGATAAGAGTCACACCGGTCTTAGTGCTATTTTGTTTTGATAGATCTCGTTGATTCCTTTTATTCTAGAAGATTGGTGCAAATTTGGCAGAATCCGAAGAGGCCAAATTTTTACCTCAACACTACTTATACCAACGTGGCAATATAATTAAACCACTACAAGAAATTAGACTTCAAACGACTATAAAAATTATCGCAAAAGCGAAAAGGTCGCTATAGGTGTTAGCGACGCATCTTGTTTCGTTGCAAAAAATGTCCCTAATTTCGTATCTTTTTAATTTTTAGAATGTTTTAATCACATCAAAAAGTCAACTATTAGCGACAAATTAAAATTGAGAAATAGAGAGAGAGAGAAACTATATCGTCTGAGATGGTACGTGGATGGGCTCGATGTCAAGAAAGGGTACAACCGCAAGTGAGAAGGCGACAAAGCCTAGGAGATTGGAACGGTGGGGTATATAGGCAGGGAGATTCAATCGAATAGAAAGGGAGACGATAAACGACATGCAAGAGAGGGGAGGGTGGTGCCCCTAAGTTGAATCGAACTTTCAGATACGCGCTTTTAGAAGGGCGTAGTTGAAAGTTTTAGCACAAACAACATGATTGAAAGTGAACATTAGCGACATGTTTTCAAAATGTCACTAAAACATTATATTTAACGACATAATTTTTTCCAGCATTGGTAAATCTTCGTCCTGAAGGAATTTTTTTTTTTTTGGCGGTGAACTAACAAGTGATAATTTGTAACTACATAATACAACATAATACAACATGGGTAGTTTAGTTGGATAAAATAGAGATGACCTAGCCAAAAAGTTCAACGAAAATACTTTGTCCAATCCGAAAAATTTAGACCCACTTACCCTTTCTTTTACTACTTCATATCACTCATTACCAACGTTACATTAAATAATCACTTGTTAGTCCAATTAGTATGCAACATCAACATTAAAACAATAGTACAATCACCCACCACCAAACTTATTAGAATCAAAACCAAAAATTTAGGGTCCAAAACGGAACCTTCCCAAGATTCAAGAACTAAATTTGCAACTTAACCGAATATAATTGACACACATTATAAAATATAAAGACGAAACAGACTCAATATTCGAAGATGACAAATCACGACGTTAAAAGTGACCCAAGAAAGCAACATTTAACACATTCGAACGTATATCGTGTGCATGTATATACATATATTATATACCCATCAAACACCAAAATTCCTAATTGAACACCATCATTGGAATTCATTAAAAGGCCCGGCCAAGACCAACCAACCCCATGCCAAAATTTCCCCTTTTTATTATTTCTCCACCGAATGAATGAAACTTGAGCCACTGATCAAAAGAGCCTCCCTCTTTGTTGTCAAATTAGAAACCATGGCCTTTTCTATCACATACCAAAAAAATATGTTGTCTTTCTCAGCATTCAATGACTAATATTGAAGCATAGCCACAGAAGAAAGTTATAAAGAAAGGCAAAGAGAGGACCAAATTTAATTTTTTTTTCTTCTTCTTTTTGTTTCCTTTAATGATGCATATGCTAGAGAAGAGCACCAAAAGGGGCTGCGTTTCTCCAACGAGTTGCCTTTGGCCGGCTAAAGAGCCCACCCTCTCCATCATTGCGTTTTCCAAACCCTCCAAAGTTGTAAAAATGAGGGTTTTCTCTACTTTTTAACTCAATTCATACCCTAAGGTTTTTTTCCGTTCATTGTTGGGTCGAATCTTGTCTTACCTTTTCCGCTAAGGTTAAATTACATCTTTTTCTTTTATTTTAGTACAAGGGGATGTCGATCTCTTAGTTAGAAATATATATCAATTACTGCTGACAATTTTTTTTACAGCTAAATGCAGTAGTAGCTGACAATTGTCCTATGAAATTAGATTGTATTGAGGTGGACAAGCTAATTTAGACATTCGTTGATATAATTAAAAGAAAAAGCAAAAAAAAAAAAAAGAAAGAAGAAAAAGGGAAAAATCTAATATGACTAGTTTTTTTTGTAGTGGCACCCTAAAAGAAATGATTTAAATTCAATGGATGATTATCCATTGTGTTATACTCCAAATTGAATTACCACAAATTTTTTATTTAGAGTCCTTTTTAATAACTATTTTATTTTTTATTTTTACAAAAGTTAGGCTTGTTTTTATATAATTTTATTAGTAAGTTTTCATCCCTCTTAAAATATATTTGAATTATTAGTCAAGTTTAAAGTTTTTGAACTTTTTTTTAAAATTGGACTATATTTTAAAAATGTTTATAAAAACTATATAATAAAAGAAAGAACACCAGATGAAAGTAAATATTTCTAAGTTTAGCTTTTAAAAATAGAAAATAGAAAATAAAATAGTTATCAAATGAGGCTAAAATTTATTTGATCAGAAGCTCCCATCTTTCCTCTAATTTGACATTATACACCCTATTATATATTGCCCATAATAGAGCTTACTTCATATATTAACATATAACTCTTCATTTCTCAGTAAATAAAAGATAATTCGTCATTTCTCAGAAAATAAAAGGAAAGAAAGAAAAAAAAAACTTGTCAGATATTTGATAATTCCTTAAATCACTTTTTAGGGTATCAACGACCACCCCTTGGACATAATTTAGTAGTTAAGGTTCGAAAAGAAAAAAATATATATTTTTTATTGTTGAATTATACTCGTTTTGACAAAACATCTATTAAATTTTAACCAAAGGACTAAAAATATACATTAACCTTCCCAATAAACTCCAAATATACTTTTCTTTATAGTAAATTAAATGGTTGATTGTGCGACTAAAAGAAATTATTCGTTAAATCCAAGTTATTAAATTTTCTTGGACACGTCAACAATAAAATTGGCATTTAATGTAACATCAACATGAGAGAAAATCAAAATTTACATGACAAATATCATTAATATAGATATAATATTAATACTAATAATTTTAACTTATTTAAAAAAGGACAAAAAAATCTACCTATTAATTTAAATATTTGTTATGAATTTTTTATTCGATAACCCACTACATCGAAATTTATGATCAAGTCAAATCGAAAAATATAAATTTAATTTTCTTTCTTACCATAATAATAATAATAATAATAATAAATGTAGTATTTGTTAACAATAATTTAAAAATAATAGTCCACACAGAGATATTGATTAGACCCTTGATGTCCACTTTGGCCATATTTATTATTCTTCTTTGTCTCTCTCTCTCATCATAGTTTGGTTTCACTTTTTATCTCTCTCTCTCTTCATTCACATTATAAATAAATATAATATAATATATATATGATCATTTTATATATCCTGCTCTGTTATTTTCAAACAAATTTCCATTTGAGAGGAGATGGCCAGAAGCTTTAACGAAGAAGAAGAAGAATTATCTTTCTGCGACCTTCCTGTAAAAGAGGAGCAAAATCCCATCATTACAGCCGTCCAAATAGCTGATCAAGATGATGATGATGAAGGGTTCGATTTCAAGCACCGGCCGGCGGTGGCGCCGGCGATGTGCGCGGCGGAGGAGGTGTTCTTCCAAGGCCATATGCTCCCATTTGGACGACTCTCCTTCAGTAGCTCTGAAAATGGTTTGAATAATAATAATAATAATTTAGGGAGAAATTTGTGGTTCAGATCGGAGTCTATGGATCATAATGTGTTGAGGTTCAGCAGCAGCAGCCGGAGTAGCAGCACTTCTACGAGCCATTATTCCAGGCAAGCCTTCCAATATTTTCTGCTCTGTTTTATTATTTATTTTAACCATTTTTGTTACATTGATAATTTCTATTTGATGGTGTTGTTTATTCATATGCTTTAAGATTAGTTTTAGTTTGTATCCCGCCCCAACTTAGCTCAATAGTAATTAACACGTGTTTTTGACTAAGAGGTCATGAGTACGAATTTTCACCTCTAGTTTTTTTTTCAATCTTGTCGGTATATTTTTCACTTTTTAGTTTGAAACATGTTTGAATTCGTTGCAAATTTTTATTACTGTTGAATTAAGTTGGTGATGGCTTTGTAACGTGTACTTATAAACATTATTATGTGTCACATAAAACATATTTGAGTTGATTCCCAATTTAATTTTCAGATGTTCCAGCATTAGCAACAACTCAATTTCCATTCCAACGACGAGCAGCTCAAAAGCAAGAGCTGAGAAGAACAACGTTTTCCACTCCCACCCAAGTCCCACGCCCCAAATCAGATCCTTCTCAACTTCCAGTCACCGGAGCCGGTGTCGAAGCTCCTCCCGCTCCCGGTGGCACTTTTTCCGGCTCGGTCTTCTCGGAACGCCAGGAGTAATGGAACTTCACGATCTCAAAACTCGCACCACCAACACCATGGCCACGGCGGTGCCGAAACCAACCGGTACCGGGTCGTTTCTGGGTGTGGTGAGCTGCAAAAGATCCGTCGAGGCAATCCCGGCGGCGCCTGTAAGGAGCAGCAGTCGCAATTTTCAAAAGGAAAAGGAAAAGGAAAAAAAGGCAAAGGAAGGAGAGGAGAGGAGGGTGTCACATCGTAGAACATTTGAATGGCTAAAGCAGCTCTCGCATGCAACCTTGACTGCTGACGAGCCTTAGGGACTCCTTTTTCTTTTACTCATCAACTATGTGCTCTCTCTCGCATGCCTTGTAGTGATGTTTAATCATTTGACTGTTTCTTCTTTTCCAACTTTTTCTTTGTTTAGTACATTTGACTTAGGAGACTTTGTTATATATATATATATATACACAAATTAAAATCGAAAGGGTATGTGTTTGATTTCTATTTAGTCCTTGAAATTTCATATACGATGCTTTAGTCTCTAGTCCTTGATCTCTAATTCCTGAGGTTTGTAAAATAGTTCTGGATTATTGGACTATGAGGTGACATTTCCTTTCATTTTCCCTCTTATTATCTTCTCTCATCTCAGTTGCTTGTTGCAACTAAATTGTTGTTGTCGGTGCTGAAGGTGTTTCGAACCAGTTGGAATTGGAATAGGAAGGCTTCATCTATTTGTTTCTTTTTTGTTTGTTCTTTTACTATAGGTTTAGTGGCAACGAGCAGTGACGATAGAGGAGAAGGGCGATGATGGCAGTTTACCAAAGGAGGAGGAAGGAGAAGAGAGGGATCGTATTAAATTAACATATTTTACCAAGTAGAGTTGAGGTCAACTTAAAACAGTCCACTTAAGCTCTATTTATAACTATTTTGCAAACTTCGCCGATTAAATGTGTTGCTTCTGAAACCTAAAAGACCAAATAAAAACCAATTTCACAAACCCTTTTTCGATTCGGCTTCTCAAGCGAAACCCTTACTCTAAACACCCTTCTAAATTCAAACCAGCATGATTTCAACTACTTTAGATTTTTATATTAAAAAAAAAAAAAGAAAAAGTTAAAAAGCATCCTAAGAATAGAGATTTAGTAGCTCCTATCCCATAGAGCATTGATGATTGAATTTGTTCCATCTAGACGAATGATGAGTTGAATATCTTATCAGAACCATGATAAGGAAATAACTACAAATAATAGGATTTGTTTATTTGATTTTGGGTGTTGTTTGAAAGAGTATAGATTTGGATTAGTTGAGTTTTGGAGTTTTGAATGATTGAGAATTTGAGTGTGTGGTGGAGGGAAAAGGGGAAGTGGTGAGGTGGGTGTCATGATGAAGGTGTGAAATTTGTTTTCAAAAAGTGGAATTCTTTCGTGACTCTCACAACAGCTCTAAAACCAAATCAAACCAAACCAAACATAGACACCGACAAAAGTAAAAGTAAAGGCTGAGGATCAAAAGCTATGCACAAAAAATACCTTTTGATGGACAAACAAACAACGAATTAGAATGTGTCTTGTTAGCATCAACTCCACACGTTGTGTCGTTACGGGTGTGGAGCCTAATCATCGAAAGTAGAAAGACGGTATTTGAGACTCGAAGCATTGAGATTGAAGCATTTGGCGTCGTAATGCTGGCCTTGAAGGTAGGTCTTTTAAAGTGACTCTTGACACGAAGTTTTCATCACCTGCATAAGTTCAGCATAATCTCTATTAGTTCTCGTGGAAAGGGAATTTCGTGAATTATAATTTATTGAGTGATCATTACCAAAATTCAAATTACCTTCAGGAAACAAATAACAAAAGTAACAATTCTAACCCCAACGCCAGAAACAACGAAGTTGAAAAACAATAGTGAAATCATCGAGATATATAAAAATGAGTTGGCGTCCTGCTTAAAAAAAAGCAACACATAATCGTCTCACGGATAAACTATGAATCAAGACTAAGTTTATTTGCAGTATAATAAGTAACACATTATCAAAACCACAAACCACATGCGGCTTCTTTTGAGATTCCATTGCCTCAAGAGCATGCTTCCAAGTTTGGAACCTAGAAATGGCCATGATCAATTAAGATGAGACACGGATTGAGCGGGAGGATTGCAGAACAAGTAGAAAACTGAAGGAAAGAAAATCAGCACATCAGAGGATAAAACCGTGCATCTCATAAGAAGTTTTCTGCAAAGAAGCCAACTGGGTAGGACACTAAAAAATTTAACAAAGTTTGAAGAAAAACATATGAAGTATTTCAATAAAGGATCCAAAATAGCATCATACCACCAAAAATAGGAGTCATAACCATAACCTCGAGAAGTAAACAGTGAAACCGACGCTGGATCAAAGAACTTGAGGAATAGAGCATGAATGAAACAGTGAAAGGCAGTAGGGGGTGGATAATCTAGTCCTCAAGAAATTATAAAGAGTGCATAAATTGAAGAAACTGAAAATGAAATAAATGCATGAAAATTAAAATCTGAGTCTTAACAATATTTCTTATACCTCTATTCAGTACACTCTTATTCCTAGGCTGCCTACAAATTATCCACTAAGAATTTCCATAAGGAGTCCATCTACAGGCAACAACATTTAGATTTCAGAACAATGACTAGACTTGCAAGCCTTTACTTATGACGCAGTCAAATTAAAACTCTGTTATTGGAAAACAGAACTTTATAAAATACAGGACAGTTCAATGAATTATCTACTAGATGGTGTTGTACTTGGAACTCAATGAAAGAACCAGAGGAAATATAAGATGAGATCCCACTGTCGTCAAAGGATGAAATGTACTGAATTTTTCAATTAGGAAAATATAAAATAAGACCGGTCTTCCTTTCTCGTGGAGTTAAATCAAGAAGATAAGTTTCTTGCACTGTTTAGCTCCAGGTGTTTCTTGCAGTATGCAAAGAATTACATAAATGGAGCGCTTGTAAAGTCAAAATTGTCAGTCTAATGCATCAACATATAAACTTATTACACTTTCATGTGTGGCTATTTGTGGTTTTTGTTCTAGGTTTGATGTTGTAGCTGCATACATGTACACTAAAGAACGATAAATATTTTCTATTGCTTAGAATAACCTGGGATGATGATGAAGAGCAAGTTGCGAGGTTTACAGAGGCTGTACTCGTTCGCCTACTTGTAAGGGTTGCACTTCGTGTGGTTTTTGGGTAAGAGACATGCTGTTTCTCAGATTGCAGCAGCCAGACCTGCATTGACTTCACAAGAAATGCAAAAGCTCAAGGCTTCTCCCACTTACATTTTTTCAAACTTGAATACCCATTATTGTTCTATTTGCATTCAACTATTTTATCTATCTTTTTTTGGATAGGAAACTATTTTATCTATCGATTTTGAAATTTTCAATCCAATTATTTGCAACTCCGTAGCTTCAGCAACTCCCTTTCTTTAATTTCTTGCAGTATGGTTGATCATTAATGTTTGATTCAGTAATATGCAGATATGACAGCACCAATGATAAAAATTAAAATTAAAAAAAATAAAAAACCCTTCTAAAATGGTTGAAATACAAACTTCAGCATTATAATCTAACGACTAATCTAGCATTTTGTATTCTCATCCAACCTAGGATGGTGGAAGGATTTACATGACAGATCTAAATAAAAATGCAGTAATTTCACATATGCTACCAACCTATGGATCCCTCTTAGCACAAAGAGGGAACAATTAAATGTTCATCTTGTTTGTCGCCGACCTCTTCTACCTCTAAAATGGGATCCCCCTCCTCGACCATGAGATTTCCTTCCCTGACTTGAAGATGAGTCAGGGTTGAATTGTGGTGGTGCTACGTTTCCTGGAAAGGCTCCAAGTGGGTGCGAGTTGGCTGGATTGAATAGCTGTGTTGCTTCCATGCTTCCTGGGATGGCAAGGGGGGGAGGAGGCTGCAAGTTTTGATTCTGTCCAAACTGTAGTCCACCAGAATGGATTCCTTGTGTCCCGACACTTGTCAAAGGATTTGGTAGGCTGGGTGATGTACCTATGAGCCCCTGTGGATATGCCGCTCCTCCAAAGGTATTCATCATAGGCATTTGAGGCACTTGCTGGGCAGGATTCTGTAATAGCCATGGCATACCATTCATTGGAAGGGCGTTGGGAAAGAATGGATTCTGTTGCTGTTGAAGGTGAAATGGCATTTCAGTTGGCCTAATTCCATTCATTGCTGGGGTAAAGCAGGGGCTGTACGTTGGTGGAAAGGATGGAATAACACCACTTCCATTGATAAAACATTGCTCTGCTGCTGAAGGGTTTGGACAACCACCATGATATACAAATGGAGCATAAGGAGGGCCATTGTGCTGGTTTTGATTGGAAGATGGCTGAACCATATCCATCTTTGCTTGCTGGGGTGTGTGCTGAACAAATTTGCTGCCCTCAGTCATCATTGCTTGCTGGGGTGTGGGCTCACCGTAATTTCTGGACTCATTGGGTATCTTTGCATTCTGATATGTACGCTGACCAAATTTCCGGGCTTGACCAGAGTTTTTCTTCTTTCTAGTGTTGTTTCCATTCCCATTTTTCTGATTGTTATTCGTAGACCTCTTAGCCAACCTCTGCATTTTCTTGAACTCAAGCTCTTTCTCATCATCTGAAAACTCATCATCATCTGACACCTCTTCATCATTCACTCCAGATGCATCATACCCTTTCTTGTACAGGTCTTTGTTGTTGAGAATATAATCGGCAAACTCCAGAACAAAAGAGACGCGAGTGCCTCCACAAATCCCAGTAGGAACTTCACTTTCAGAATTGTATCTTACGGAATAATAAGGATATTTTACTGGTCCAAAAATTTCATCTATCAACCCCAATGGGGATCTAGTTTCAGTTATCCAGAGGATAGAGCCTTCATTAAGAGGATTGTGCTTCTCAACACCCTCTACAATGACTTGATTGCCAATTATCTGAAAAGTAGAAACATAACATAGAACTTATCTAAACTCACCAAGTACAATTGCACATCAATACTTAAAAAAACCCACCTCTTATAGATTATTTAGTTTCATAAGCAAGAAAAACTATGTAATGGGCAGACAGAGAAAGAATTGGAGCATTATTTACCGTACTTTTTTTGCATATTGAGAGCATGAAATTAGAAAAGAAAATTATTTGTCGTATAATTCTAATAAAATTAAGGAGCTTACTGACAGAACAACTCCAACAGGAATAATCTGGTGTTGTGGCTGCAGTGTGGCATACACCTGAGGAACTGGAGGAAGAACCTGCAAACAAGCCAAAAATGAAGTAATACAATAATATTGATTACTAATCAATTACGTTAAGGAACATCAACCATGGGTATCTTATCCAATACAGTCTCCATCTGATTACTCAAAAGTTCAAAAGACTACCAGCAAGCATCAAGGATGAAAACATAAAACGAACCTTAAGCTCATTTTTTGAACTAATCGGCCCTCCTTCAACACCAACCTCTTCATCATCATCAATGTCCGGGTCCCCACCATCACCATCCCACGCAACCATTTGATCTGTAGAAGCCTCTTCATCTTCATCTTCAACATCCCTTATCTCACCTTCTTCGAGCTCACCGATTTCTCCATGTCCCTCCGCTTTCATAGTGAACTTGTTCTCCTCTTCTTCATCATCACAGCTGCTGTCATCGCTGCTAGAAGACGATGAATTTTCTTCCTCTTCATCTTTTTCATCATTGCGGCCTCTGCCATGGCTACTGCTACTGGATGTTGTAGCTGAACTTGTGCCCTCAGACTCAACATCACTTTCACTCTCATCCTTTCGACACTCTAAATCAATGTTCCCGGTGCTTCCAGACCCAGTGACCAAACTAACCTTAGACATCCCTTCCTCGATTATGCCATTCAAATCCCTAGACTTATCAGAAGCCTCAATACTAGCCTGCACAACTGGTACAGACACGGCAACAACCGGCTGAGCAGGCCCTTCGACAGTTGGATTGGACACTGACGCATTTGCTTGATTCAAATGAACTTCTGCTTTAGGCAGAACCGTTTTTGCATCAACCATAACAGGGGATGTTAATTCCTCGATCCAGTCGTTCAAAGAATCGTAGTCTAGAAAGGAATCAGCAAAGGAGTAATCGTTAGCCTTCAAATCAAAAGGGTCAAGTGGCTCCGACTTCTTAAGCTTCGAAGGGTGGAGGGCGTCGGGGGTAGATACAGTGGTGGAGTTCGATGCAAACTCTACCATTGCAGACGTCCAAAATTCAGACTTGATTCAGGAGAACCGTTTCTGCATTGGCCATAACAGGGAATGTTAATTCCTCGATCCAGTCGTTCAAAGAATCGTAATCATAATTATAAAATTGAAAATATTAGTAACACATTTATTACATTAAACATGCTTAAGACGGCATTCCATTAACTAATAAATGGTTCAAACAAGAAGAAACTCAACTCAAAAGAATGTGTTATGAAAAACAATATTATTAAACAAAGCCCCAAAAGATATACTGATAGAGTAAGCAAAGTGCAAGCCCCTCTCAATTCTCCACCACCTTATGTAGGTTTACTAATGCCATGTAAATTAATGCTAAATACTTCGCACTAAATGAGTCAAAAAAGAAAAAATAAATACTTCGCACGAATGACCGGTCGGCGAACACGAAAAGGGAACACGAACGGCGGAGACTGGTTAAGCGAAGATGAACAGCGAAGGCAAAGAAGCCGGTGCCTCGACGGCGAAGCGAAACGGCGACTCGGCGAACGGTGAACGACGAAGACTGCTCGGCGCGGCGAAGACGACCGGCGACCGGCGAAGAGAATAATCGGCAGCGGAAAAAGAGGAGAAATCGAAGAAATCTGCAAAAGGGACTAAAAGGAGTGACCGCGCAAAGACTAATTACAACTGTAGGCTAGGGTTTGTCAAATTTCAACCTAAAATTAATTAATTAATTTTCTAATTTCTAAATCTAAAGTCAGCTTTTAAAACTAAAAATTATTATGTTAATTAAACTTTAAAAAAAAATGTTTTCAAAATTTTTTGAAATAATTTGTTCACTTTTTTAACTCTCTAATACATGTCTGAGTATAGCTCAGTGGTAACTAGTATATATCTCCAATCAAGATGATTTTGTATAAAATATCTCAGTATTTTGATTCGTAGACAATGACTTTTATAACCATGGTGCAACATTAGGTTTTAGAGCACCTTTTTTTCTAAAGTGGTAGTCTATTAAATGTTGTAGTTGCAAAAAAAATTGTAGTATATAAATCCATGTATTTTTTTTAAACCATGGTTATATCGATCTCTCGAACATTAGGCTACGGGTTTTCTAAAAGTTTGTTGAATATCTAAAAGCTAGTATAGTTTATTTCATATTTTGTAGTAGTGATTTGAATTAGAGACTTCAAAGACGCGAGCTCTTGATTCTTTGGTTGCTTGCCTTGGGTAGATCTAGTTGAAGTTGGTAAAGGCAGCCTATAAAAACTTTCTTGGAGCATCACCTTCCCTCATGTTCTATCGTTCACAAAACAATAATTCAAGTTCTTTCAATATTAGGAACATGTAAAATATTTTTCAAATTCACAGAGACATCGTTAGTATTATAGGAATTGTGTCTCACATGAGTAATCAAGAGTTTGGAACCATCGCCAACTGTTTGAGTAATTGAGTGGGTGGAAAAGTGATGATGAATAATGTTGGTTGAGTTTTAGTGACCGATAAAAGGAAAATATTAATGAAATCTTGCAACAAGAGGTTAAGACGCGAAAAGAAGCTAAGAAAGCAACAAGCGAAGAGAAAGAGATTGTGCAATGCGCAGACTTTGTGGCCACCACATTATAGAACATTTGTGGATTAACTCCCTAATAAAGATCGGCAACTTGGGGTCATTGGTCTGGAACTCACGTTCTTGTAATATCTAACAATCCCTGAACTTTGTCAAATTCTTGTCATATGCTTCTTGGCCGAGACATCCAACTCTTTGACGCCTTGGTACTATCTTAACATTTGTCAGGCTTGTCCTCTCTACCATAGGATTCTCTTCTTCCTTTGGAGACGATTGAACAGCCATCGTTGGAGTCAAAGCAGTGCATGTTCTAGGCCAAGAAGGCGCTGCTGAATCAAGTGCTCGACCTTGGTATTTTGCCTTCCTTTGCTCCCCTTGGCATCTCCATAAACTGAACATCACTATCATCCTCCTGAGTGGAAGAACTCTAGCAAAAGGTTGGCTCAGTCTCAATACTAATCTTTTCTTGCACTGCACAAGCAGACTTCAATACCGAACGCCTTCTGTAATGTTGTAGCAGGGTTAACCACGGCCTATGAACACCTGGAACAGTAGCCTCTAGGGTGTGCCTTGTCCAATTGATGTGGCTGCCGTATAATTTTGTTCTTCTTCAATGTTGCCAGTGAATTCACCGTCCTCATGAAACACAACTTCAACCAAATCAGTAGCTAAATGGTCAATCTTTTACCTTTTTGGAAGGCCTCTTATTTGTTTCAGCACAAGTGGTCTCTCGGATTGGAGCTGGTGGAGATTCAAAATGCGGCAAACGCATTGCTTTGGACGGTTCCTCCTCATCTTCTTCTTGGAGCTCAGTAGCACCACTTTCCTATTCCATTTCCTTGTTTTGGATTTTGGCCACCAAAAATTTCGAACCATCAGTCCCCACACTTAGATTACCTTGCGAATGGATAATTTCTCTTAGGGTTTTCCGGTGAGATATGGGCAGACATCTTCGTATGGGTCGAGTTTGGGCATAATCTCACCAATACATGGTTTTGTAGCGTATGGTTAATGTGTCAGCCGAATTTCAAACCGTATTCAGGAACGAAAATTCTTCTTTATCGATCTTTAAGTTATTTGACCCTATCAAAGTTCTTGCTCGGCACAAAATAAATATGTTCTAAAATTAAAATAACTTAAAAAAAAAAAAAAGTTCACAGAAGAGTGCCCGTCCACCGAGTTCTAGAAACCAAACGAGGAGCCAATTAATTACTAATTAATGCATTTAAAAAGAAAATAGAGGTTTTGCTTCTGTCTACTTGATCTTCAAACTAGGGTTTTACCCTTTTGATCGTTAACTTTATAAGTATTACCCATATTGTCTTCCAAGTCTGTCTCATAACTTTGCAATTTTGAATGGATCGGACCATTGGGACTTTAACTTACTGGAAACAATCGAAGTCAAAAGTTAAATAACAATATCATCTCACCTACTCAAAATTGTTTGAACCTTATTCACCAATTTTGTTTCTAATTACTTAAAAAATAAAAACATTACGTAAAGGTCCTCATTTGACAACATTTCCATTTCCATTTCCTGTTATTTTTTGTAGAAACAGATTTGTTTCCTAATTCATCCCAGATTTGTTTCTAAATATTGAGAAATGGTTTTAAAAAAATGTGCCAAATTTTGGAAACTACTTAGCTTTTTTTTTTCTGCTCTCTTTTTTTATATAGTTTCAGAGCGTGGTTCGTTTAAATATAATATAATGTAACTTAAACTGCAATGTGGATATTTAGTCCGTTGGTTCATACATCATCTGAATTCTCATTAGCGGCCCAGGTTGGATTCGTATCAAAATTATTACTTTTTTTTTATATTTTTTAAACAAAAAATATATATTTTCCATTTATTAAATTAAATTATTTTGAAAATTGATTAAGCTATTATATTTTCTTAAACAAAAAAAAAAATCTATTTTTCAATTAAAAATATTTTGAATTTTTTTATTTGTATGACCAAAAAAATATTTTCTATTTTTTAAATTAAAATATAATTTTTTATTTTTCAAGCATATATCATATTTTTTTTATATTATATCTAATCAATTTTATTTTAACTAAAAATAAAAATAAATCAATCTAAGTTAAAAGACGGATATCTTCGGTTAGGTCATTGAGGTTTGAATCTCCACTCTCACGAGCTATTATGCAAAAGAAACTAAAAATAAAAATAAGACGGAATCAGTCATCAAACATAAATGGTTACCAAATATATTACTAAAAAAAAATAAAAAAACAGGAAGTGAGAGACGAGAGCATTACCAAACGATTTCTTTATACCTCATTTTATGTCACATTTTTTGAAATTTTGGTCATCGCAGGACGTGGACCTGATGAAGTGGTTTTCTTAAAATTCGTTTTTCCTATCAGATATAAATTTCCAATTTCACACGCAATTCATAGCAAAGTGAATGTTGAACTCTTTTTGTTCCCATCACTTGAAAGGTTAGATTTCCACAATTTCCTTTTATTTCTTAATGCTCCTCGTGTTGCAATTTCCTTTTATTCCTATCCTATCCTTTCCTATCTTATTTCTTTTGATTCTGCCTAGGTTTTGAGGTGAGTCACGTGCGACCAAATGAACCTATGAGGTGCGAGTTTATGCAAGATAACACTTACAAGAAGGAAGAAACACTCTGACACTCAAATCACTAAAGTATGAGCTCAAGTAGATGTTCTCGAAGCAGAATTGTATGCTTCAATGACTGGAGTGATGTTATTTTTAAAGTGTCTGAGGTCGGTAGGTCGGTAGGAGAGGCCTTAGGTAATTAATACATATATATAATGTCTTTTTACACTATAATTATTCCTCTCATTATTTTATTCCACTAACTTTTCTCTTATTCATTTTGTAATTTATACTATTTTCATTTTACTAAGGCAAAAAGGAAAACAATATATACTTTCGATATAACATGTGGGGAGAGAGGTCGAACTCACAATAATTGGAGATACATGTCAATTACCGCTAAGCTATGCTCACTTTGTCAAAACAATATATACTTTGGTCCTTACTCTTTACTTTCTTTCATTTTTGTTTCAACACTTTTAAAATGTTATTCTCAATTTTATTCATTTTAGTTTATATCAAAATGTCTAGTGTCTCTCTACATTTTTAGAAAGTGATCACTATAGTCCCTATTTGCATAATTTTAGTTTAAAATTTTATATATAATAGAAATTATTTAATTCATGTGGCTACATTTCAAAAAATTTAGTAAGTGAAATGTCATGAAATTATGATAGATAAAAATGGAAATGAAAAAGACGAAAATGCACCCTTCAAAAATTATAAGACTAAAATGAATAAAAGTTGAAAGTATATATATCAAAATAGACATTTTAAAAGTCATATTGATATATCAAATATGAAAAAAAATTATAAATGCAAAGAACGAAATAATATTTAAACTTATAATTAATTTCTACAAAGTCACTTTTGGTAAAAAAAAAAAATAATAATAATAATAAAAAACCTCAAGATAAATTAAAATTGCCGTGGGTATACTTGGATGAGAAGAATAATTAGAAATTTATGGACAAATGTGTTCATAAAAAAAAATTCAGAGAAATATAATGGTTAGAATTTCTCTCTTTCTTGTCATTTTTTTCTTCATTTTACCAAAACTTAGATATCAAAACCCCATTCTTGAACTACTTGGGCTTGTAGTGAAAAATGATAGTTCTTTCCATCTGATGGGTTGGCCCGGTTAAACTTTGATTTTGGGTCAAACTTAAATCGTGCCCGAGCCAGATTTGGGCCTCAAGCCCATAATGCCTGTTGACCAGGCTGAGACGTAGGCGTAGGAGGTTCCAAATAAATTATTAAATAAATAATTAAAAAAATAATTCATGAAGATGATGTGTTTTAAGACTTTTTTTTTTTTCAACTCGTAACCTTTTAATTAGAGAGGTGTGTCAATAACCATTGAGTTAAGCTCAAGTTAGCTTCATGTGTTTTAAGATTTAATAATTAATGAATGGTTAAAATACTATATTGGTCAACCTACCTTTAGGTTTGGTTTATTTCAATTCATGTAATTTCAAAATATTTGTTTTCGTCATTTTACCTTTAACTTTGTCCATTTTAGTCTTTGTACTTTCAAAATATTCATTTGGTCCCTATACTTTTAAAAAGTTATTATCTTTTGTCCTATTTTCAAAATTTTAACACAAATGTCACAAAGTTATGATTATATTTAAAGAAAAATATATTTAGTGTAATATCATCTTGAATTTGTGATAGAAAAAATGAGATTAAAAATAAAATAAAATAACTAAAATGGACATTTTTTAATAACACAAAACCAAAACCAACATTTTCATTTATACAATTTAATGGCACCAAAATTTTGTATAGGTCGTTGAATATATATTTTTCTAAAGTTGGTTGAATATTTAAAAAAAGATGAATGAGTGGAGTCGAAGTGGGGCCACGAAACCAACCCATTAATTGGAAGTTGGCCACTTGAGGACGTGGTTGCCGTCTGGTTGGTTGGATGTGGCCAAGACGTTATTTATTTAAATGTCGGTACAGTCCATACCTTATTATCGTCCCATGTGTCTCGCATCACCATCACCTAATAATACTGCCCCTAAAATAACATATATATATATAATCTCATTGTAAACTAAAGCGAACGTAATTGAGCGGTAATTGATATATATCTCTGTGATAGAGAAGAGAGGTACATGAATTAACTGATACCACATCCGAATAAGAGGGATCCTGAGACCATGAAAGTAGAAGAAAGATTAAAAGAAATGATAGTTACTACCTATATTAATAAGGTGCACATTCTTTTTCGTTAACTCAATCATAGGAACTAGAGAATAGAGCGTCAGAACTAGAACGCTCGTGTGACAGAGTTGCAGAGATATAGAAGAATGTCGGGACGATTAGGCCAAATCTGGATTCCAAATCCTAATCCGAATTCTGAGCCTAGAGCGTTATAATATCCAACCAAGAGGTTGTGAATTTGATTCCCACCTCCACATGTCTTAGCTGTCAAATAGTTAACGAGTAACTTTATTTTATTTTAATCTCAGACTTGAAAAGGAAAAAATGAGGGTGTGACTTGGAGCATATGCATATAAAAAAGAAAAAATTGTGAACGTGAACAAATTTTCAGGCATATGAGTTGGAAGCAGTAGCAGATCAGGGTTCGAACCCTCATAAACTTTAAAAACTTCTTATATTATTAATGCACAGGTTGGATGGAAGTAAGACAAAGCAATATTAAAACCAAAGTATTAGTTAATAAACTAAAAGGGCATCTAAATCATTGTTTCTTTTTTTTTTTCTTAATTTAAATAGTGACTAAAATAAATATTTGGAAAGTACAAACTTAAAAAATATCTTTATGTGGTGATGATGAAGGCAGTAGAGCCGTCGGATGCGAATCACTGTAGATCCGGCAGCAGGGGATCAAGCCCCAACGCTCCAATCCTCATCTTCCAAAAAGTATCTATAATTATGTGACTATGGAGACGCCCCGTCGCCGACCGAAATAAAGAACTCAAATCGCAGAGGAAATAATAATAGCATCGGAATCGGAGTTGAGAGCTCGAATCTTCGGCCATGGGAATCGTCGAGGAGGCTCAGAATGTGAAGATCGTCGGCTCCGGCCAGCAGACGGTGGTTCTAGGGCACGGATTCGGCACCGATCAATCGGTCTGGAAACACCTGATTCCGCATCTGATCGACGATTACAGAGTGGTTCTCTACGATAACATGGGCGCCGGAACCACCAATCCCGACTATTTCGATTNCCTCTTCCAGAAGATCGTCATGATCTCGCCGTCGCCGCGGTAACTCTTCCCTTTCTCTCTCTCGCCGGAACTCTCATAACCGCCGTCATCTATTCATTTTGGGGTTTCCTTTTCCTTTATTTTTTGTTTTTAGGTCAACTAAATGAGAAACGTGGGAGTAATATGAACATATTTTATTGTTTGAAATTTATTTTGGAATGATTTTTCTTTTTTGTTTTTTCTAATATAAAAAAGAAGGGAAAAAAAACTTTTTTTTTTTGTTTTTGTTATTTCATACTACTTTTATAAATCTTTTTAAAATTATATAGTAGAATTTTTGAAGTTATAAAAATAGTTTTCAGAAACTTATTTTTACTTTTAGGTTCTAGAAGGTTTATTAATATGTCTTAAAGCTTTTTTAGAAGATGAAAAAAATAAAAAACTGTAAATAATTTTTATAAATGGTGCCATATCACTTTTCCCGAATTTTAAAATTTTTAATACATATTTATATTAATATTTTCGATTAAATGTTTCGGGTTTTTGATGAATGATTTAGAAGTACTAGTAATTTAACATACGCACGTTATAATTTAATTTAAATCTAAATCAATATTTCTTGTATTTGAGACTATTTTCTTGAAGCATATCTTTATCTTTTTATTATTGTTTAAGATCAAAATAATAGTCAGATGATAACACTGTTTTGCCATTCAAATTAAAAAATAAAAACATTTAATCAATTATGCTCTTCAAGGAAAATAGAAAGCAGGAATAAAAACAAACGGGGAGACGTTTTGTAAAATTTTAATTGCGTTTAGAAATAAAGTGGTTTTTTTTCCCTAGAAAGAGATGGGAGAAGTTTTGATATAATTGTATAAAATGAGAGAGAGATTGCAGATCTATTAGAATTATAAAATTTTTTAATTTTTATTGTCAATAATTATAATTAAAAATAACTTCATAAATTTTAAAATTAATTTTTGCAAAAGATTTTAAAAATAGACCGACAAAACTTTCTTATATTCAAACTTCTCACATTTTTTGCATTTCAATTTTATGAAATAATTAGTTTTTATATATTTTATACTATTTTACCATTAAAACGCTATAATTTTTTAAATTTCATTATTAATTATAATTAAAAATAAAATCATAAATTCTAGAATTAATTTTAATAATAAAATGACAACAGTTTTATATTCACATTTCTCACTTTTTGTCATTTAAATTTTACAAAATAATTAGTTTCAATATATTTTTAAAAAGTTACAGTATTTTTAAATAGTTCATGATATTATAAAATTTAAATGTAAAAAAAAAATGTATACTAAGACGTTTCACATTATTTCCATTATTAATTTTAAATGATTAGTGTCAATGTGTATTTTAACTTTTATTTTAAAATTTGTTTAATTACTGCAAGTAAAAAAAAAATTGTCTAGAAAGAGGGAAAAGAAAAATTAAAAATCATAAATTTAACAAGTCAATGTTTTGAATGAAGAACATACAAATGTTTATTTTGCCATCTTAATTTATGAATGCATCTAATTATTAGTTTCAATATTTTTCATATTTTTATTTATTTAATCATTGTTTAACTATTAAGCACTATAATTTTCAAATTCTATTTTTAATTATAGTTAGAGATAAAGTCATAAAATTTTAAAATTTATAACTTTATTAAAAAGTGAAAAATGAAAAATCACAAATTTTAAAAGTAAATATTTTAAATAAAGAATATAGAGAAGTTTATTTGGTAATGACAAATTTATGAATGTATCTAATTATTAGTTTTAATATATTTTAATATATTTACTTTTTTAACATTGTTTAACTATTAAAGTACTATGACTTTTGTATAAAAAAAAGCACCATGACTTTTAAAATTTAAGTATTAATTATAATTATAGATAAAATTGTAGTTTTTTAAATTAATTTTTAAGAATAAATTGTTGGTTTATTATCAAATCTTTTATATTATTTTTAACTGTTATTTTGTACTTAAATTATTAGTTTCAATGTGTATTGGTACTTTATTTAAAATTTTATTTAATTGTTATAAGTGAAAAATGAAAAATCATAAATTTTAAAAGTGAATATTAGAAGAACAAGGAAAAAACTAACCTCAAATTGTTGTTGAAGATGGATAGGAGGGAGTTATTTTATAGTTGTTAAATAAGGATGAGTGGCAAAACTTTTGAGATTCTACCATTTTTAGTATTGAATAATTAAACATTATTAAATAATCATGATAAAAGTTTGCGTATCTTAAATAAGGTGAAATAGAATTCTAAAAGATAAACAAATTAAATATATTTAATTTTTAATAATAGCATCAACAAAAAGTATTTAAAACAATCCAAAACAAAACTAATAAATTTGATCACCGGCAACACCAAATTTCCTAAACAAAAAAGAAAAAGGAAAAAAATCACTTACACCAACTAATGAAGGATAATTTTGTCCACAAAAAGTTTGTGCTTTATTTTATTTAATAAAAAATTGGTTAGGAAAAGATTGTTTTCTTATCTATGTGAAAAGTGGAGTTTCTTTTCACTTTCTTATAGGATTCTATACGTAGAAAAATTTTTAATCCATTTTTGACCACTCTATTTGAATAGATGAGTTAAATTTAAGTAGAAAATTTTAATTTTATCTAATTGAATTTTGTACATAAACCGCAAGTGAAAATAGTGCCTGAGTTCCTATTTCTATGCCTGTTCAAAAATATATACTTGGTTTTTTTTTTAATACAAGAATTATATATTTTGTTTAAGCTCAACAAAAAGTTTATTTGATGGCTTTTTTTTTGGAAGGAAAGTTTATTTGATGGTTGACGATATAACTGTTGTTGGTACTAATAATTTATTTAACTGTGTTGGATGTGTTTTTTTTTTTTTTTTTTTACTTTTTCATTTTTATTAAGGCTTGGACATTTTTGGTATTCGACTTTAATTCTTGGTGACTGATTTTGGGTCCAGTGTGGAACATTTTGATGGTTAGGTTTCAACCTTTATTTATTTATTAGTTCAGAGATAATATTTTAATTTGATTTTGATAATATAAAATTAAAATTAAACTATGTATCAGATACAAACTTAAAAGTTAGGTTTATAAACTTATTAAATACATTTTAAAATTTAAAGATTCATTAGATACAACATTCGAGGGGACTATATTAGACATTTTTTAAGGTTCATAGAATTAAACACAGTTGTACAAGTTGAGACCCTAGTAGGTCAAATAATTGAAAATGTGGATGGTTAGGTACTTGAACGACGTTGACTACTATGGGGGGTTCGAGCAAGAGGATCTGGAGCAACTGTTCGAGGCAATGCAGTCAAATTACAAGGCATGGTGTGCGGGGTTTGCACCATTAGCCGTTGGTGGAGACATGGAGTCGGTGGCGGTACAGGAGTTTAGCCGGACCCTGTTCAACATGCGGCCAGATATAGCCCTAAGTGTGGCCCAAACAATCTTCCAGAGTGATATGAGGCACATTTTGGGCCTTGTCACTGTCCCTTGTCACATCATCCAGAGCAGGAAGGACATGGCTGTTCCGGTCGTCGTCTCCGAGTACCTCCATCGCAACCTCGCCGCCGAATCCATTGTTGAGGTCATGCACTCCGACGGCCACCTCCCCCAACTCAGTTCTCCCGATATCGTCGTTCCGGTCCTTCTCAAGCATATTCGTTATGACATCGCAGTCTAGCCTACTCTACTTCGTTCATTTGTATATATATTTATATGGAAGAAATTTGCTCTTTACTAATAACGATCAATCTTGTCTTCACTGCTATTAAATGTTCGACAATTAAGAGAGAAATGTAAAAAGTCACATATTGTTTTTTTTTTTCTAAATAATGAGTTGTCAATTTTTCAATGGTGGTGAAGATAAAATTTGGTTCTATTAAGTAGCCAAGTATTTTCCAATTTATATACAAGATTCTTTATTATGTACTCTAGTTCACAGTTTCCAATCTAGATAAATTTTTAGTTTTGTATCTAATAGGTCTCTCAACTTTGAATTTTATATCAATAGGTCTTCAATTTTTAATTTTATATCTAATAGATCATTGACCTTTTTTTTTAATACCTAGATTTGTTAGACACAATAAAATATACAATTTTATCAGATAAAAAATTCAATTTCATGTCCAATAGTCTAGTTAATTTTAAAAAACGTCAAAATTTAAAATTCAAAGGATTTTTAGATATTTTTAACTAAAATTCAAAGATTTATTCGACACTTTCATCGTCTTGAAACTAAACTGATAATTTAATCTAAAATAAGATATCCAAAACCCGTTTAATAAGGTTTCCGATTTCTTGTTTTTCTTTTACAATGTATTAACAAACGTAAGCATAGGGTAATTGGTCACGTAATATCAAATTTACTCGTTCTCGTTTAAAATATCATTTTATCTCATCTTTTAATTTAGCCGAAACAACATGGCCAATTTCTCAAGTTCATTCAAACTATAAAATATCATTCAAACAAACAAAGAGAGGACACAAGCACAAGGAGGGAAAATAAAAGAAGCCCTAAAAACCTAAACACCTTCCCTTCCCAACTTCAAAAGAAATGGGAAGAAAACAGAAGAAAAATGGGTTCAATTTCAGCTGAGAACAAAGCGGCAGTGATGAAAACCTGCAACACAAGAACAAAACAAGAAACCCAATTCATCAAAATTTCCCAATCAACAAAAACTTGTAACAAAAGAAGAAATTCACAGAGATTCTCACTTGGGTCCGAACTGATGATCATGGCGGTGCCCCCAAAGCTACAGGTTCCTCCACTTCTCTTATTCTTCTGCCAGTAGTTATTGAACGCATAAGAGGCGTGCGCCACCAGAGTATCAGGATGGAAGCAGCTCCCGTCCGCCGATATCTCCTTACAGTCGGCGCCGCCGTCGCCGCAGGCGTAGTCCATCGCCTGCTGCAGAATCTCCACCGGCACGCTCGGCTTCGCCACGCACCACTGCTTCTGCATGCCACCTGTTTGTGGAAATGGCGCACCAGCATTTTGGTCCGGATTGCACGGCGGCAGCGCGAACCCCATCGGCGGACTCGCCGGGACCACGAACGGCGGCAGCTCCGGGGCGGCGGCGAACCCCATCTGTGGCGGAGATGCGATTTGGGACTCCGGTGGATTTGGGGGTCTGGCTAGGTCCGATGGCAATGGCGGCTCTGCTGTAAAGAGAGGGTCATCGAATTCAATGAAATTGAGCTTCCTGCCAATTGGGTTTCTCTGATTTGAGACGCTTGTTATTAGATTCAATTTCTCGAGCTCTAGAAACCCAATTTTTTCCAATTTGGACGAGATGAAGCTGTCCATTTCATCTTGAGAAATTGCATTTTCAGGTAGTTTGAGGGTCAACGTGGAGTTTGTAGCTTTGATGAAATCGAACACAAGTTTCAGCATGTGCTCAGCGGAATCCTCCTCTTGAGGATCTGAGTGGAAGCAATCGATTGAGAAGAGAGTTGAGACTTTGATTTGAGTCTCCAAACCCCATCTCGTAAGAGAGTGAAACAAGTTCTTGAGAGAAAGTAAGACCAAATTGGAGTTGTTGCTGCACAGAGAGCTGTTTCCCACAACAATGGTGGTGATTTTAGTGGAAGGGTAGTGAGCCAGAACGAAGGTTCTAAGCCAACTTTCCGCCATTAAAACACTGCTTGAGACCTCTGCAAGTTCAGCATCAGTTACAGAAACAGCAACAGGGAGTTCAGAACCAGACAGTGCTGGAAAAACCCCTGAAGTCTTCTCATCCAGCTTCACAACTTGAATGGATTCTTGACCTGCATCTGCCATTTAGACCCAAAAATTAAAAGGTACGTATAAACATATAATCAATCATTCATATTCTAACACTGACCCGACTAGTGATTATCAATATTAACGGAAGAAACTGACATTAAGGGGTTAAGAACTGAAGTGAGAAATGGGAGGGGGGGAGAAGGGAGATGCTTACTAGTAAGACCCAGAAGGAAAGTGAAGAAGAGAAGTGAAGAGAGAAGCTTGTTCTTCATTCTCTGCAAATAAAATGGAAAAATGAAGAGAGAGAAAAGCTTGGAAACTGGCTATGGAGTGCTAGTTTCCACCATTGCTGGCTGTGGGGAAGCTTTTTTTATAGTGAGTGTTTCAGAAAGCTTAATGGAAAAACCAGTCGTCGCTTCCAATTTACTGGAAATGGCAAATATATCCGTTGCTTGGGAATGGGGTTTAGGCAACCTCTCGGAATCCCAAGTTGTGAAATAAGCTGAAAAGATATATATATATATATATATATATATATATATATATATATATATATATATATTGTAGCTGTTTCCTTCTTAAGTTTTGGCTTGGAAGTGGGAAGTTAAGTATCATGCAATCTTAAATGTTGAGACATGCCAAATTCAAAATGTAATCTTAAGAATGTGTGTATATATAGGGCGGTAGAATATTTACGTTTTTTGTTTCTAGAAATACAAGTGTTTAGCTGTTTTTATTTTGTTTCTCATTTTTCAAAATTATTTCTAAAATTTTGCAAAATTATTGAAACAACAAAATCAAATTTCTCTGTATTTTGTTCTTATTCTCAGATTTTCCAAAACATAAATACAGATATTATTTTATTACTTTTTACTTATAAAATGCATATAAGTATTAAAATATAATGTAAAAATTGAATATTTAATTCATAATTAATTTTCATATAAAAAATTAACTTTTTTTAATTTAAAATTTTAGAAAACAAGAAGAAAATAATTACCAAATATGTTTTCGTTTCTTTTTTCAATATGAAGATAGATTAAAGCCTCTTACTCATTTCTTAGAGATTGGATATTTAGTCTCTAATTATATATAACAAATTCTAATTGACTTAGATGATTAATTATAGACTTAGAAAGATTGTATTATTTTTATTATGTGTTCTAATAATTTCACACGTAAATAAGAATCGAATCAAATATTTAATTATAAATTAGAAAAATATATTTAAAATAATAATAATAAGCAAAGAATAATTCTTTACAGAGAATCTAATCCCGTCGAAAATTTCGTAGAGATGAAATTGAAATGAGAATGACGACGGGGATGGGAAGATTTTCCCGTCCCTATCTCCCAACTTCATCCTATTAACACTCCTACTTATAATTGGTAAGCTAAATATGCATTTCAAAAAAGAAATAAAAAAGGTGAAGGAAATATGTGTTAAAAATAAAAAATAAAAAAATGGAAAATTGGGTTGGGAGGCGCGAAAAAGCGCAGCCGCAGCAGCAGAATTCAGAACCGCATCGGAAGTGTGAATTGTGGCGTGGTCCCAAAGCTGTGACCACTCACAATTGACACGTTAAAAGTAGCCTTTTTTTCTTTTCCTTCTCTTTCAAAAACCCAACTTTTACTACAAATGTCTCATATACTACAATACAAATATTACAATTTTCAATTTCTTTCCCCAAATTCTAAAATGTAAAGATTTTTGGAATTGTGTTTAATAGATGCTTGAGAATTAAATGTATCTAAATGAGTCTTGATGGGTATTATATCAAATTCTAAGAAATCATTTGAGGAGTTAGGGCTCTATTGGACACAAAATTCATGTGTGTGACTTTTAATTAATGTTAAATAGGTCTAATCTAGCTATATTTTTTTTTTTAATTTTGATGGAACAATAGTTTCCATTATTGTTGTATTGACAACATTTTCTCTCCATTAAATTCATGCCAATCACTAAATTCTATCATCAATCGATTTTGAACCAATAAAGTATAACTCAACTACTTAAAACATCTCTTCTAAATTTGAATTTTTATTTTAAATTAGAAAATATTAAAATATAAAAAACTAGATTGAAAGTAATTAAATTAAATGGGATGAAAAAGAGGATGAACAAGGAAAGATTACTATTTTTTGCAGGCTTTATACGGACGGCAGAAACGGCAAAACGCTTAGACTACCCTTATACGAAAGGCACCGGTTCCACCGGGCCCACAAAATACCACCAAATCTTTTTAAAAGGAAAAAAAGCGGTTTTTTTTTCAAAATGTGTCAATGTTAGGCCTGTACAAAGGGTAATAAATTTCTGTCGATTTCCATAAATTTGATATTGAAAGCGAGCACAGTTCAGTAATAATAGGTATATATCTTCAATCAGAAGGTGGTGGGTTCGATCCCTACTCCACATGTTAGACTAAAAAAAATTGACATTTCAACAGTATTTTAAGAAAATCGACAAAATATGAAAATATCAACAAAAAAAATTATTAATAATGACATAATATCAAATATTTATTTGTCAATTTAAATATTTTTTACAATTTTTTTAAAAATTTTTTTATAACATTTCTAGAAATATCCAATTGACATAGATATTATATTGATATTCCTATCGATATGACCTCGATATTTCTATTGACATGAACATTCAAAACCTTGCTCATACATATATGGAAAATTTCAATGTAAATATTAGTATGCTGAGAAAATTCAATACCGTGTGTATAAGGGCATAACTTAATATGAAATATGAGGAATAAATATGTCATATTTACAGATTTCTAATTCATTTTATTAACTAAATAGTATCTCAGTATAAATACAACGTAGGTAACTCTAACTAACTTGGTAAACTATACAAACTCAAGTAGCAGTTAACTAACTATAGTTAAATACATCTAATATAATCAAATTAAATATTAATTGATATGGTGTTTCCATAGGCATTTTCCACATACCAAATATTTTGGGATCGATTTTAATAAAAAGGTGTGTTAATAAAACATCACTACTAGGAACATAAATACTAATGGTTGAGGGAGATTTCAACTCACACGTGCCACATCTTGATTGGATAATGAAACTTACATGTGGCTATGATTGATAAGCCTCATGTCTCGCTACCTCGGTCTCGTCTCCCATGACCGAGCTGACCCCTTGCACAGCCAAGTCGATCAAGCTTCATTGGAATCTCATTCACATTTATTGGTTGAACCGATGGACTTCACTTCGACTCAGCTCCAGCCTCCAATAGACTCCGCGACAACACGCCGCAATTCACGATTACTTTAAAGAGCTATTGAAGCCTTGTCAGAAATATTGTCGGAAGAATTATCTATAAATAGAACTCATTCACCTCATTTTTAGGTACGCGAACATCCCTATTCTCTCCAAGAAATAACTTGGATTCTTCCTTATATTGGCATCATGGTGTTCCATGTTCCACATGTCACCTATTCACTAGACTCCAACTCGTCCGCCAAGTCAGTCTACCTTCCGAGTCGAGGTTCACAGCTTGATCAATTTCTTGATCCAACACTAATAAAAGAATATATATATATATTTTTTAACTTATTGTTTTGAATTTTTTTTTTAACTTTTATTTACGTTAATATTTGAAATCTTCGGTTTAGGAGACCCAAAAAGGGAAAGAAAAAAAATACTTGACTTGCGAGTGGTATTAGAAAGGCAAGAATTAATGGGCGAGGCTTTTTACGAAAGATTCTTTTACTTTTTTTTACTTTTTCGAATTGGAATTTGTAGTAACATAAATACTTTCTACGTCCAACCATCTTTCCGTTTTCATAGCGGGGACGAAATAATTATGACAACAGTGAAAAATTGTATTCACCAAGTTTGCAATGAAAAAAAATTTACCATTCTACTCAGCCTCATTGTTGCTATATCAGTTAGCTTTAGTAATGAAGCGTTGGAGGTGGAACGAAAGCTTGATTAGGAATTCTTTTTTAGAGGAGGAAGCTGATATCATTTTAAATATTCCTCTTTCGACGTGCAATCAACATGATGAAGTTATATGGGGGCCAGATAAGAAAGACAAGTTTAGTGTTAAAAGTACTTATAGATTGGGTGTTCACTTGGCTTCCGCTGACGAGGTCCAAACCTCAAATTCAGAGGAAGAAGCTAAGAAATGGAAGAAATTATGGAGAACATTGGTGCCGACAAAAGTCAAGATTTGTTGCTGGCGAATTTACAACGACATCATTTCTACAATCGCAATTTTGAATAAGAAGGGAATAGTGATTCGACAAGGGTGCTCCTTTTGCAAAAAGGAGGAAGAAGAGTCATCCACACATATTTTCTGGAACTGCAGGTTTGTAAGGGATATCTGGGCTCTCTATTTAAATTCTAATATGTGTGATTTTTGGTTGAACAGGCATGTGTTGAGCTCCAAGGATTTTTGCGACCCGATGTGGTCACGGGCAAGCGGGGACGAGTTACAAAAATCGCAACTAATCTTATGGAAATTGTGGGGGTACAGGAACATGATCTATCACAGTAAAGAGAATCCCAACATCCAGACGTTAATTGAGGAAATTGAAATTGTTCTACGGAATCACAATCTGAAGGGAGAGACAAATCTGGTCAAGCGGGTCCGGCGAAGCACAATTGAAGGGAGCAGTTGGACCACGCCACCACACCATAGATGGACGCTACCTGGATGGACTCCCTGAATCGTGGTGGCATCGGCTGGATTCTCCGCGACTCTAATGGCTCGATGATTTCGACTGGGTGTAGGCTTGTGCATCACAGATGGCAAATCAAGGTTTTGGAGGCGATGACTGTGGTTGAAGGTTTGAAATCTATTAACAAGGAAGAAATGTTAGAAACCATTGTTGAGTTGGACTGCCTTGAACTAGTTAATCTGCTGAAAGGGGTGAATTCCGACCTAACTGAGATTAGCTTTTCATCGACGAAGCTTTGCGTCTACAAGAGGTCTAGAGGACTGTCGTGACTTTCTTCCTTAAGGGAAGATGATGTTCGTGCGTGCTAATTTTTTTGTTTTTTGATGTTTCTGTCTAAAAAAAAAGTAAAATAATACATATATATGTCAAGATATGAATATAGTAGATATCGCTCCAATAGTACTAGAAATTTTCATCATTTATGACACACACATTGATCTAGTTAATTTATCTTTGTAATAATAACTTTTAGTAATTAAAAGTTGAAAAATATTAAGTAATTTTGACATGGTTTAACCATGACATTCGAGTATTAAGGAAGAATCTGAACTCATTTCCTCCTAATTAACTTAGTTTCATAAATTATATCAATAAACCAATTATCTTTATGGTATGATGGAGAGGTTACTTGTTTAGAATATTCTAACATTATTATGAAGAATAGTATATATGGAAATGACATGTCTATTGCCTAACTTAATTCTCACATTTCAAGATGTCATTGACGTTGTTCAAGAAAATAATGTCAAATTAATCAAAGCAATTATATTTACGAAATCGTCTCTAGGAGCCCAATTTTTTGACTGAAGTCGACCTGCCATAGGTATGCTATATCGTTGTAAAGCTACAGCTCAACCTCAATGTCTGTGATATGAATATCAAAACTATGTTTACACTAGTGAAGAGTTGCATCCATTCAAGCAAGATAGCGTATCTTTTCATCTAAGAAGCTCAATGAATCAGAAGATTCAGATTTATTGGCATATTTAATTAATTTTATACCATTTAAATTCATGTATTTTCATTTAATGAGGTTCATGTATGGATGTGAAAGGGTGTTGATTGAATTTAGACTAGTTTGGCCAAGGTTGTGTCTTATCAATTATTATAAATAAGGATGTAAATTTGCTTTTCAAACACAACCTTTAATGAATGAAATTTCAAACTGAGTTTAGTCTCTCTCAAAATTTAAGATTTCTTTGTTTTCTTGTATTTAGAATGCGTGTATAAAACTTCCAAATTAGTTTGATCAATTAGGTCGTGGAGAATTCGAAATCTTAAAGATAGGAACACGTTTTCCCTTCTTCTTGATCATTGATCATCTTTCCAATCATAAATTTGTTTAACTTCCTTGGGGTTGGTTCATCCATTAGTTATTGGGTTATAATTCTTATTATTGTTGTGGAGTTCACCTTGAACAAGGGAGATCTTATATATAATTGAAGTAGTTCCTTTATCACTCTGTACTCCAAACTGATGCGTTGACCAGACTGCACTATGACTCGTCTTTTATACATGATATTTCACAAATATTCCCATTTTTTAAAAATATTTACAAATCTAGATTTCCAAGATTTAAATAAGCTTTCTTGTTCTCAAATTCCCCTCAATAAATGTCACTAAATTACATTTATTATTATTTTTTAAAATGTATTCTTGAGATTAATGGTCATTTAATGCAAATATTTTACATTAATTATTAAATGATAATATTTTAATAAATAATTAAACAAATATAGTAACTAATCAATGTAATTATTCTATTTAATTTTCCAGATATTCTTTAAATTTTCCGACGTATATTATTTTTTTTAGGGTTTAAGGTTTGGGATTTAGGATTCGGTATCTTATTTATTTATTAAAAAGAGAAATTGTCTCTACTAGGTCTAGGCCAATTTAAGATTTAAGGTTTAGGGTTTTTTTATTTATTAAAAATATATGAATATGAATAGTTTGATAATTTTTATATAGACTCCATCCTAAAAAAAACCTATATTTTGACAAATTTGTAAAATATTAGAGTTTTTAGATGTTTATATAATTGTCTAAAAAAAACCTAGTTCTGTCATTGTAGATCCATTATTAAAAGATATAACGTTGGCCCAAATGGGAGCCCATCTAAAAGTTGGTGGCTAAAAAGAGGAAAATTTTGAAGGGGCAACTAGAGGAATAGCTAAATTAAATAGTTTGATTTGAAAAATGGCCAAAATAATCAGATATCAGAAAAATAACTAAAGAGCTGAACTACGTGATTTTATGTAGACAAATTTACCCTCCCCATCAAAATAGGTAAATTTATCCTACCATTACCCCTATAAATTCGTGACGAAATTACCCTTCAACAAATCTGTAATACACCTAAATTGTAGGAAAGAAGATATTGAATGGAAATTATAGAGTTCAAAAATTTTAAATCAAAATGTAAAATGGATAAAAAAATAACTAAAATCAATTTAGAAAAATGGAACATGAACAAAAAAAATAATATTGAAATCCAAAATTGAACAAAAAAATATAGAGTGAATAGTTGAGAATTAGTACCCACCTCGCTGCCAATACCACCTCACTGTCAATATCACTACACACCACACTCCATCAAAAACTTTCCTTCCAAAAAGCCTATCAGTAACTCAAAAACCCACTCATTCGAAATTAATACCCCCTCATTAAAATCCCTTCCAAAAACCCACCCCTTCAAAATTAATACCCACCCCAAACGGCACTCCAAAAATCAACTGCAAAACCCCACTCGAAACGTTGAATCCTTCCAAAAAATCTCAAATCCCTAACTCCTTCCTCTTCGCCAAACCCCCAAACAGCGTACAAGAATCTCTAAACCGCGTACAAAGGTCGTGGTTCTAAGGTAAAATCCTAAAGTTCGAAGAGGTTTCTAAGGTCACTGATTTCYGAAGASCTCGACGGCGAAGAGTTCAATCATTGATTTTCGAAGATAGCGTACAAGAATACCTCAACGACGAACAAGTATGACTGATTTCCGAAGACGTTGAAGGTAGGTTTGATCTAAGGTCGCCGATTTTGAACACGCGTCGATTTTGAGACAGATCCAGAACACAAGCAGATTTTGAGACTTCCAGACAGATTTCAAAGTATGTACTCGACTTCCCCCAAGCGTATCTACGATTTTTTATACTGTTTAAATAAATGAGGTTTAAAAAATATAACACGTTTAAGTGTATGTTTCTRTWACCAACSCCGATATTTAAGGGATTTTGTTGACACAATAGATATAGTCGGTTATATGCAAAATCGATTCTGTGGGGGAAGATTAGATTGCAAAATATAGTTATGAATACTAAGAATATATTTAAAAGTGTCATTCTTGTTTTATATCAGATTGCCGTATAGTTTAGATTGCAAACAAAAAATTTAAATAACATCTATAGGGGAGTATTTTGGGAAACATGATTGAAAGCCTCAACTGTTTGGGAGATTATGTCCACCTTGGGTTTCCATGGTCACAAGGCATAAGAGAAAGAATAGAGGATTACAAAAAAAACACAAGAATGACAGATATAAAAYGGTGAKAGGACTTTTTGTATTTATCTACTGTCTATTTTGTGTAAAGAAGTTATATTTACTGAGGAATATGTTCAACGATGAGGATTAATATGTTCAATGTCACTAGGAATATTTTCAGCTTTGTATTTATTTGAAATCGGTTATGTTCAACTTTTATTTTATTGCAAGTGACACATAAATCGGTTATGCTACCAATCACCAAATTAATTGTTGCGATTAGACAGAGAATTGAGTGAAATTCTTGCTTATAACGCGGTGAGCCTTTAGGTAGTTCTGAACTTTTGAAGTAGGTAGAATGTAGTTATACAAACTGACAAAAATGGTCATCTACTCT